AGATATATATATATATATATATATAATTATGATCTTTCATTTGGTTTGTAATCTATCTGGAGAATTTAATTACCTTCGCCTTCTCAAAACTCGGTCGGTCGATAGTCATATCGTATTTTAATGCTCTACATTAGTATTACTGTTATCTAAAATATCTTCTTTCGAATTGGATCGAGGGTTTTTGTGTCTCTTTCAAGCCATCTACCTAGATTATATAGGCGACGAAATGGCGATCTAAAGTTTATCTACTTGAATAATTTCAGCATGGTTCTGCTGCTGGATGAACGAGAAACATCTGCGAGACTAGCCTCTCCGAGAAATCTTGCATAAATGTCTGTCGGATATCATTCAATATCCAGTGTGGTATTCGCCAGGGAAGTAGTTGTTTTCCGACAGACGTTTACCACACCCTACTGTGTAGGTAGTTGGAAGAGATTATTATTTCGAAATATTCATTTCCTTATACGTATGTATCTCTCCTCCATAGTTTTCACTTTTGATTTCTGTTAGAGTTTTGGTATATGGAATGTTTCTTCCCCGCTTGGGGCTTTGTTCACAAGATGGAGTTATTACTAGTAAACAATATTTCTCTCAGCCAAATGTTTCATATATTTTATATATTCCAAAGCTACGATACAACATGTATGTAGCGGAGTCGTGTTGAAATTAATCGAGTCACAGACACTTTGCTGTCTGGGTAAGACCTTTCGTGTACTGACGGGAGGTATTACTTCGAAACCACAGTCTGCAGGTAATTTAGCCACAGCATAGGTAACAATCAGCATGGACACTTTGGCCATGCCGCCTTTGATGTGGAAAAGTATCTAGACGCCATTTTGGGAAGTGACGATAAGAGGGCAGGACTCGCCAAATGGTTTTGGACAGGTTCGCACTCAAACTGTTTTATATCCAAAATGCTCATATAATTTTGATATAACTTACGGAATTCAATTGATATAATAATTTTTGTGCAGATATTCTACTTTTAGGCATAGTGAATAGTGATATGCAACTAAAGAATTAATAAAAATGACTTCAGACAGAAAATACATACAAAAAACTTTCTGTCACGAAAGAAAATGAGTGCCCAGATTGATTTTCAAGAATTAAGACAATGAAGAAATTCTGTTGTGAAAACATTAAGTATTTCTACAATAGCAATGTTGCTGTTCACAAATATAGGTAGGCTCTATGAAAACAGATATTAACTTAGTGGAGAATGTTCATCCCTCTCTTGGTCCTTCGGAAACATGAAAAAATTTATTTTGGATTTTGAACTATTACTTTTACAACTATTTACAGCACAAACGGGTCCACCACCCATTAGTTTTTCCATTATGTTACAAAATAAAATTCACGATACGCACAGAACACATGTAACATATACGTCCTAACAAGAGCAAAGTCAAAAGCAGAATGAGAAAGTCTGTCACTTCCCAGAATGGCGGACTCATCAACGCAACGGATATGCGCGAATTTCTCCCGCCAAGCGAAGTGACATTGCTGATTGTTACCTATGTTGTGATTCTGCTGCTGGAAGAACGAGAAATGAAAGAACAAGAATCATCTGCGAGACTAGTTTCTGTGATGAATCTTGCATAAATGTCTATCGGATATTCAATATCCAGCATGGTATCAGCCGGGGAAGTAGTTGTTTTCCATCAGGCGTTCACCACACCCTACTCTGTAGGTAGTTGGAAGAATAATAATTCGAAATTCATTTCGAAATTTTTATTTTCTTATACTCAATAGTTTTGACTTCTGTTACGTTCTTTATTCGATTATTTCATTTACAATACTCATACAACATTTGTTTATATTGGCGTGATAGTCTTGTATCCATAACTTGTCCTCTTGACTGAAAATAATATTTTGTTCTTTGAAGCTGTTTGCTCTGTTTTTTCAATACCATTTCTGCAGTTGAGAGTATGGTCCATTATAAAGTTACATTTGGAGGTGGGTTTTCTGAGATCATAATTTTATTTTTTTATTTATGATGGGGTAGGTTAGTATTAGCTGAAATTCAAGTTTGTGGGGTAGCAACCCTTGTTTCCCGGCCGCCATCTTGGAAAACGGAGTGCAAAGGATTTTGGCGCTGTATTTCGTATAGTAGCAATCTCACAAAAATATCACTAGACTTTATTTGTAACAATTTAAATTATTTACCACTTTTTTTTATTGCTTCATCGTAAAATAAAAAATTATTACCAAAAATAACTGAATTGTTTTCAACAAATTTTCATTTGGTCGATATTACTTTTTTCTGGTCATCAGAACAAGTTGAAACTTGTGCAAGCTAAGGGTTAACGAGATCTTACCTTCTAACGTGTGATTCCAAACACGAGTTGGACGATAGCAAGTGAAAATTGAACAACATTCTCCATAAGTATGTTGGGTAAGTACAAGAACACTATGGACTATCTACAAGTATAATATTTGATGACTACTCCGAAAACAGCGATATCTCAGGAGCGTGGGAGCCCAAGATGGAAATAATGAAAATGTACGAAGCAAACTCAATAGACCTTCTTCAAACTGCTCTATCAAAGATGAGTTTTAGTGTGGATCAGGATGAATCAGATGCAGATACAGTCGTCGTCCGTTTTGCGCTTGCTGCATCCAAACCCTATGTATCTATGACTATCGTAGCAGAGGATATTGACATTCTTATCTTGCTCATATAATTAGGGAGGAAACAATCCAATGCATTTTTTAAACATTCGAAAGGGCGTGAGTTTGATCAATTATACTGTATTTCAGGTTTTATATATAGCCAAGCCAGTAACCAAAAATACATTCAAGTTATCATCGCCTTCTCCAACACAAGATGCTGTACGTTTCCACAGTATCTGAGTTTATCGCCAGGTTCAGTCTTGGCTCGACAAACACTGTGATCCTGAAGAGCGGAGCTGGAAAACGCACGAAAAACTGTTGATACCAATCGTAACTTCTAAGCCTCCAGCACCCCCCGAACTTCTGAAATTAATTTTCTGCAGATGCAAAAGAAACTGTGGAAGTATGTGTAGTTGCCGAAAAGCAGACCTCAAATGCTCTGCAGTGTGCATCAATTGTTCTGGAGAAACCTGCAGTAATATCATAGAAATAGAAAAATTATTCGAAGAAAATGAATTCGAAGATAAATTATCCGCAGTGACGCCAATTCTAACTCCCATTATTCAATAATGATAATAATGGAGTGTCTACATGACAGAATCGTACTGGATACAGCCTGTAAAGTCGTCAGGAGTTCGGATCCCCTTCTCTGCATGGTCCGTGACCATGAGAGAGCAGGAATTGGAGCATTTCTCTTCAGAGCAGCTGCCCGAGCAGCTGATGAACTCGGTTTAGTGTTCGACACTGAACAAGGTGACCACAACTCTGTCACCGAGTTGGAACCCGTTCAGCAAAAAGCTCATATTAAAGCCGCAGAGATCACCTTACTTCTGCGGAAACACAAGGATAAGCCAATGCATAGGGTCTTCTTCAATAACATTGAAGACCTTGGCTTATCAAAGCGCCTGACTTTCGCTTTCCTCAGGTAGAGTGGACTGAACTCGGAAACTGACAAGTTCATCATGGCTTGCCAGGATTGTGTCTCCAACACCTCAGTCTATCGCAGTCGCGTGATGGGTATAGAGCTTCCTTACACACGGTACAGGGCCTGCCACGAGGCGCCCGAGACCCTAAAGCACTTGCTACCAGCATGTCCAGCATATGCGGTCTCGGCATATATCCATCGACATAACGCGGCCCTAAGAGTGCTTTATTACTATCTACGGCACTCGTACGGTATTGACGAGACACCGGTGTCGTCCTACGCTCCAAGGGATTTTGAATCCGTTGTGTGGAACGAGAAGAGCCGAATTCATTGGAACTATTCGTTCCCCAATCTCAGGCTCATAGATGCTGATAAGCTTGATGTAGTCCTCGATTGGCGTTTTCAGCTCCTAGCGAGACGAATATCGTCAGAAAAGAGGAGGAAAAACGGATAAAATATCGAGATTTTCTCTTGGAACTCCGCAGACTTTATCCAGATCACTCTGTCAAGATGGTTGTTCTGATTATTGGAGTCCTTGGTGGAATGATACCCTCTCTACTCTTGAATCTTGAAATCATATTGGCTTGCCGCACTAAGGCAGAAATCTTAGTGGCACAGATGCATTCTTAGCTCACTGCGCTTGCTCAGGGCATATGATTCTTGGACCCAATGATCACTTACCCCACGCTGTGGGGAGTGGTCATTGGTTGATAATGCTGGCGCGCCCTCCCGAATGTATCAGGGCTTCGGGGGATAGGGGCTGACCAGCGCATACTACGATGAAAAATAATAATAATAATAATAATCATCTTCATTGTTTCCCAGCTGTAGTTGAATACATACATTTAGATGAATTACAGAGCTAGTTGCTGATATAACAAAAGGCGAAGTTCAACTCAGTTAACACAAGTGCTACTGAGTTGTGCTACTGAGTTTAGCAAACATTCCGATACTGAATTAGATCCTGAACCGCAGCCTGGACCATCGAAGGAAATGAAAAAGAAATCTGGAAAACAACTTTTTGAATATATAATTCTGCTCAAAATTATCTCGCCTACAAATTGTCCGTGGATTAGGCTTACTAGGCGTGAAAATGCGCAACCAGATTCTATTTCATATGTGGTGAGGAAAAGGATCGATAATGAATTGATAATAATATAGAAATATTTAGAAAATGATAAAGTATGTGAATGAAAAAATATGTATCAGAAAACTGAGTTCAATGGTTCGCTTTTATTGTATTCTTACGAGTATTCAGGAACCCGATTAACTTCGGAGCGCTGTAAAACGAAATTGAACAAATCTGTAGTGGAAATAATTTCTTGAAAAAGTCTCTTTGAAGTTTTTCTGATGTTGTTCTATTATGAAATGAACAGAAAAAAAATATACGCTCAAAAAAATTGTTATATTTGTTTATAATTTTTTATTTTTCATTTAACGATAAATAATAATGGATACTGAGTTACAGTTCAATTTGCTTGAAAAAATGTCTCAATAGTTTACGAGATTCAGCGCGAAAACCGTTCACACCGCTTTCTCCAAGATGACGGCCGGGAAACAAGGGTTGAGATCCCACAAACTTGAACACAAGCTTATACTAACTCCCCTACACGTCAAAAAAATAAAACTGCGCCCTCTGAAAAACGCACGCCAAAGCCTTCGAAATGTAACATTTCAATGAACCAATAAAAGTAGATCCAACATAAATCGAAGGTAACGCATGATATTTATAGTTGATTTTAGAAGCTCATTAGTTTCGGAATGTTAGAGTGCAGTAGTTAAGCGCTCTTCATCAGATTTAAATATTGCGGCGTTATCTGTCTCTAAGGATTCCAAACTGTGAAAAAAGTAAAATTCGTATAGAGGAAGCAACTATTCAGTTCAAAGCACTGTATTCAGTAATGAGATACGTGGTTAAAGAGGGATCTATCCTCGTCTATGTTTTCTTCGGCCATTTCCAGATTGATAACGATGCCATCGTTGGATCATCAGCTCAAACCGAATACATATTGTGATTACTTGTAATTTGTACAATTTGGTATTACAATGCCATCACACATATGCACGAGGTGAAGATTTCATTTTCAATATATCTTAATGTAAAATGTTTCCTTTGAAATGAGCAGTAATATCTACATGCTTTCATACGAAAAATGGTTTATTTTTTTTTTACTAAAGCATTTTGTGGGCCAACCTTGTAGTACCTAATAAGTACCTTTGTTATGGCTAGGTCATCAGCAAAAACTCCGATATCTATATTGCCACTGTTTATTGCCACTGTTCAATAAACACAGAAAACATCACTGACATGAAATACATTTTTTCTATCCAATACAGTAGACTTGTGCGTAAAAAGTATGAAACAAGGTGGAATAATGTCTAAAGGTGACGTGGTAAATATGAAAAATCCAATTAGAAGAATGATGATGATGGTGATATACCTTGGAAGTTTCAATATGAAACATCTCAGTATTTTCAACTTCTTCAACTCCAGAACAGTGGAATACTTTTTTCCAATAATACCTCACTAGCAATTTTGACGTCCACAGAAGATGATAATAACTGTTGATCATATATTTTTTTTCTTTATGTATCGTTAACAACTTATCTAGTATGATTTTATTAGTTTGTAGTTTATTCGATGAAAAATTTTCATTTTTCGATCACAATATAACTGATTTCTCTTGATATGTTCATTCATATTATGGTTTCCAATAATATCAATTGATTTTACATCATTCAATTTCAGGAAAGCCAAATCCAGCCAAATTCAGTAGTGCATCAAGAGGTAACTCCAAGGACAGCTACAATATAAGCTGGGCAGTTGAATCACTGACTCCCATTCAGGAATACAAACTTCTCTTCAGGAGACTGCCTGACAGTAATACAGATGACGGTCATCCGCAACCACTTCATCATCAAAGTCAGAAAAAGTTCATACCTGGAAAGGTAGGTTTGGGCCAGAATTTTCAGTGAAATACGGCAGAGTAAAATAGGCAAAGTGAAATACAGTTAACTACTGTGAAATTTTCATTATGAAGATTTATAGCAAAATAAGTAGTAGTAATCCCGTTCGAGAGAGATGTTGTGAAGTTGTGTAGTTTCCTGGACATTTATTGTGAAACTCTTACAGTAAACTCTAACTTCATCAAAAAACCTACTTCAAATATAAAAATTGATTGAAATTTTCAAATAGTTGGTTGCAGTTGAACTGATTGACATTTTATTTCATCGAATTACTCTTTCCAAAACTATTTTAATGTCGCTCCTACATCAACGCAGACATTGATTACTTGGATATACATACCCATTCTCTCCTGATGTTTCCACGCAATGAGCTAAAATTCACATTTTTTGTCAAGAATATTATGGTATCATTCCACCAAGTTAATTTCATTTTGTATATCACGGAGCTCACCGATAGGAAATCATTGCAATAGATTTGGTTCTCATGCTGAACAGAAAAAAATACTTGAAGATGCTGCTAGAGTCAGTCAAAATACTTCAAATGTGAAATAGCTCTTCAATCGGATTTCTGTATGTCATTATTTGTAACAGTCATCAGAGGCCTCCTATCATTAGTCTATAAGATAATGACGAGATAACTGGAGCTACTAATAAAACCAGCAGCAATTTTCTAATTAGTTTCTGTAACAGCAAAGGAATCGACTCAAATATCGATTTGATTAACCATCAGTTGTAAAGAAATATTAATCATATTTCAGCAATAACTGAAAACAAAGCTAATGCTACAACAAACCCTGTCAATTATATGTATAACGGCTTCGACTTTCATTATTGATATTGACGTCACTTCAGAATTTCTTACCAGGCCAGTATAGCCAGGAATACAGACCTGAGATAATCTGTTAAGTCTGGCAATTTGCTATCAATTTACATGTTGCTCGGTAGGAGCCAAGAGCTTCCTACGCCTTTTGACTGCCCGTTAATATTTTTATTGACTGTGTATGAGGTTAGATTCTTCCAATCTCTCCGCACACAATTCAATAGCGTAAATTTCTGCTTGAAATACAGTCGCATAGGTTTCTAGGCACGTTGATATCTTCGTCCTGGGTCTGCGACTGAAAACACCTGCACCAGAACTGAAAGGTGTTTTCGATTCATCTGTGAACCAGCAACTATCTGCTCTTAATATTTCCTTCTCCCGGAGGATCCAGTCCTCTCTACTCTGAAAAAGTACTTTATAAGGCGGTACGTAGTTGATAGTTGGAGGCACAAAGTCAAAGGTCATTTGCAGAATGCTGTGACTCACAATGTCAACCAATAGTCTGGTGCTTTCTGCATTAAATCAATTTGTGCATTTGGCAATGTGCACAAGACTATATGAAGTCCCTCTATCCTCTCTCTCTCTCCAGAAAAAAATGTGAAGAGGAGGTAGATATAGGAGGATCTCCATAGCCGCTGACGTTGTGGTACTGATGGCACTGCTGATGACCAGACAAGCCTGTTTCTGTAAGCCAGAGAGCCTGCCAGAGAGGGTACCGTTTTCTGTTTGAGATCGATACCCTCGTGTCTGAAGAAACGTTACGTCGCCCCAGATTTATCGCCTGAGTTTTATCTGAAGTAACCCGAATCTTCGATTCGAGATACCAACGTTCGTGTTCGTCAAATGCACGTTGCATGTAGACGACCGCCAACACGCGACTCATGGAAGGAGCGTGAAGAGCCGTATCATCTGCGTAAAGGGAAACTCTTACGTGATTGAACCTGGTAAGGTCGCTCATGTTTAGGCCCTATAATGATGGAGGCAGCACAGCTCCCTGTGGTACTCCAGCCTGGATTTCGTTGACGATGGACATGGTTCCTTCAACTCGAACCTGGAATGTTCCACCTTTCAGGAAGGACCTAATCCATCGGACTAGGCCCCGAGGCCTGTGCAGTTTGTGCAGAAGGCCTTCGTGCCAGATTCGCCTGGAGCCCTTCAAAATGACAAGATGGACTATCTGCCTGTTGTTCATCTCTGAGATGAAATTTTCAAACAGCCTCAGGGCCTGCAGTTCAGTGAAGTGTGCCTTCCTGAAACTGAATTGTTCGTTCGACTAATCGGACGGTTATTCTGGAAAAATAACGGCTCCTGACCCTGTTTCGGAATCATGATGACCACGGGAAGTATCTGAGGGCGATTGAACTGTTTATGATGTTCAAGTGATCAAATTTTCAGGAAGCTTCTTCAACAACCTACTGTTGTATGAATAAACATCCGGAGCTTTCTTGGGTTTGGAGGCCCTTCTATACCTCCTCAATTCTTACTTCAAAGCTGGACGGATGTCGTCATCATTCTCCCTAAGTATGTGCCGAACCCGACGTTCCAGCCGAATATCACGGTCAATATTATCGTCCAGATAAACGTCAAGTTGGAACTTACTCTCTATTGTGCCTGAAAACGCCAACGCCTTCTTGGCAGGGAAGTAGCAGATGCCGCGCTGTCCGTGAAGAGAGGAGGGAACAATCTTCCTCTTCTCAAATCTGCGGAAAAATCGCCAGAGTTCATCTGTTTAAAAATCTATTTCTTTCGTTGACAACCTACGAACGACAACCCTCAGAAGTTGAAACTTGTTCGAGCTAAGGATTAACGATGTTTTACCTTTTAACGTGTGATTCCTAACACAGGTTGGACGATAGCAAGAGAAAATCGATCGTTCAGACTGGAGCTTGGACCACCGACCAACAGGGCAGTCAATTCGAGTGAGTGAACAAAGCACTTACTTCGAACAGCCTGGCTACCCCTATGTTCGAGCGATTCCAAACACTCGCTCCACCTCTCGTTTCTATAGTCAGAAATGGCCTGTTTAACCGTTGATAAACTCGTCTGAGTCGATTTCTCTCCCGGATAAGGTTTTTTGTCCTGGAAGGTAACTCGTTGTAGCTTCGCATTGGACACTCTGTTATGGTTGTGGCTGCGCAAAAAGCGTTGTTCACAAACAACTCGATATCCGCCACCACCGCGTTGAGACCGTTGCGATTATGAAGTGCCTCACGGTATGTGCGTGTCTCCACTATTAGTGCTTCAAATGCTTTCCAATCCGTGGATGATCTCATATGATGACCCTGGGGATGAGGATCATCACCCAGCATATGGATAACTAGATTATAATACGAGTCAAGTTCCGACAAAGTATAGACTTCGCAGTACGATATCAAACACATCAGGTCTGTGTCGCCCGTTGTAGTCGCCCGTTTCTTCATCTCATCCAGGCTGGAACAGATGCCACTAACCTTCGACGGAGGAGGACCACGAGGTGCCGCGGTCGACTTGGCGGAAGTATTACCGCTCTCAACCACCCTAGCATAACTCATACCTGGGCGTGTGCTTTCTGGCGAACTACCATTGGGAAAACATTAAATTTTTGGAGGCGCCTCAGGTTTCACGGGATGATTGGTGTTTACACCCTGTATTGTTGGATTTCCAACCTTATTCACATTTTTGGTAGTCGGATTTTTTGGGCCAACCTGTATGGTCGTTTTCGATTCAGCAAGTTTCTCTTCATTTTCGGAGTTATCATCCATTTCGACATAGTTATTATCATCACCCTCAACAGAGGATTCTGTAGTGGACAACTCAGATTCAGAGGTGTGATTTTTTGCTTCATCGCGAAGCTTACGAAGTTTTTTGTCATTTTTTTAGGTTTCGTACCTGAGTTTTCAATCGCCTTTGGGGCAGAAAAGAGGAAGAAGAGGAAAGTCTTCTGGCAACCTGCGTTTTTTGTTGGTCGGTTCATTTGGTTAGGTCTGATTATTAATTTCCTCTGGCTAACCAGAGTGGGCGGATTCGACGAGAGGAAGCCTTCCGCGACGGACGATTGAGAAGCTCCTTGACCCCTGATGGAGTGCAAGGACGCTTCCCAATCGCTGACCCTGGAGTGTAAGGACGCTTCCCAATCGCTGACCCTGGAGTGCCCTTCAACAGCTCTACTGGACTCAGGACCAGGCAGTCAAGTAAAAGGCCTATGAAGCCAATTACTTCACCCCTGTCTCTGGCCAACAGCTTCTCCATACTGCTAACGTACTCTAATCGCAAGAATTTCCAGGATTTGGCAGATGATATCGTTAACAGTAAAGCAAAATGATAATTTCAAACGTACGTAACCACTAAAATATCGGTACGCCTTTGCACACAGTAACTAACACTGAGTGAATTAACACCTGGTGGAATTCACTCACCTTTGTGTAATTTCTTTGAAAATTTACGGAGAGCAAAAATTGCCACAAGTCACATTGACAGCTTACATCCGAATCAATGTCTGCGTAGTGTCATTTCAAAGATTCACGTTTCATTCTATTTATTTGTTTCCTTCCATACCCCCACTTCTATTAAACTATAAAACGTCCCACTTTTTGTAAATATCCTAGGTATATACGCTCTCATAATGGTACACCTTGGTGATATTTAAGAAAAATATTCATTAAACTGCAGTGTTTACTCAATTTCTTCATACAGAAACATAAAATACGTGTTGTGGTTTCAAGAATCATTTTCAACTTCCAACACAACATCTAACACTTGTCCTCAATAACTAGGTAGGTACTTCCTCTATAAAATATCATCACGTTTCGGTAAAACCTATCAGAAACATGTTCACTTCGGAGGAATCATTTTTTCTGTTCCTCAACTATAAAACAGACTATTTGCCAAGAAGACAAAAAATATATATGTTCTCCGATACAGTAACCTATAAAATGAAATATGTGAAGGTTGGAAGTGATTGAAAGTCTGACATTGACTTAGGTAAGTGAAATGGGTCTCTCAAGGGTCATTTGTTCGCCGAAGCATCTCCAGGCGGAATTAAATTGTGCGATAACTATTGTAAGGACAAAAAAGAGCTGACTGTTGATGGATAATAGTATTGATGAAAGCTGTGGGATCGATACTTTCTTCCGAAGTTATCTACCTACTGGGGACGGAACTTGAATTGAAAAACAAAAAATTCAAAGGAGAATGTGTCGAGTGTCTTATTGAAATTAACAGGAAAGCAATTTGTATTCGAAATTCAACATTTACTCTGTAGATAAGATTTACACGGGCTAGTCAGAAGAAGTGGTAGTCTTATTTCATTTCGTGAATAACAAACTATAATAAAAATAAAAATGTTATTTGAATTCAATTACGAGTCTATAAACTGAATCGCCCCAGTTGAATATCAAATTATTTCGTGTCTATGTACATCGTAGTATCGTTTCTTTTTTCTTATGAAATGAGAGCAAGTGCAAAATGTACTAATAGAAGTAATAACAGTTTCAGACTTACAATTCTATATATTTTTATAGAGATAAATCATTCAACCACTCGGAAATCATTGAAAATGAGGTATTCAAACATAAGCGTTCTTCAATTCAAGTGATGAATCTACTCACTGACAGGGCCTGTTATAGTCTGAGTGAATATTTTTGATAAAATGTGAAATTCATATGTATTTTTTCAACATTTTTCATTGTAATTATACTTTCACCCAATCATTACCATCCTTGACTTTTGTATTGTATCTTGCTAAACTAATTTTTATCCACACATTTATATTTTGTTACACTCTGTCAATAGAATATAAATCTTCAGACGAAAAACGACTCGTAAACTTTGATTGATCGCCTGAGACAGAAAATTTTGATTTGTTTTACACCATTTGATATACTCTCTGACTAAAACTCGGAATACTTACAACCAAATTATATTTTTTCATAACAACGTTGAACTTTCGTTTGGTGTACTCAATCAGTGATAATTCAACGTGAGTTGATCTATACCTAGTGTCAACCTCACGTTTTCCATGCGATGCCACTTGGAATGTGAATTATCATAAAAACCTAAAGACCTACGAAATGGTGAATGAATTAAATATGAGACTGTTACTAGTTCACATACAAACATATTTTGAAAATGAGCCGTGCTTAAGCTTCTTTCAAATCATCAAAGAAAAATCAAATGCCCCTTTTTGTTACACAAAACTGAATAATACATTGATCATTCAGAATTTGAGAACCAAAGCAGATTCCATAACTAAATTCTGATAAAATGAATTCTAGTTACTTAACTATATAGTTCTTCAACATTTTCTGATGAATATTAAGCTGAATTGCAAATTTTTCGTGAATGTGAGGATTCCATGTATATCATCAAATAGTTATCTAAAAGGGGTTGCATTAATAATGTAATAATGTAAGTATTAGATACATTTTTGTCATTATTTCCATTACTGAAATGATATTCATTATTGAAATTCCTGAATTATCCTCAATATTTGTATGAGTATCTAAATGAAGCTGATTTTGTTTCAATAAATATGTAATGATAAATATATGCCTATTTATATTCCAGAGTATCAAATTTGTATTCACTAATAATGGTAACATGTATCAATTTTTTGAAAATAACAATTTTTTCTTCGTTGCCACATAGCAGAATCCTTTTTTCATAATTCCATCCAATTTTGACATAAATCTCTTCATAACTGTGTCTCGTCCATCGTTTGAAAATTAATTTGTTTTCAACTAAACAATTTTTTATTCAAATTATCACTTGCGAGGAGTTCAAAAACACACTTAATAAAACCCTTACATCACAGGAGATAATACTGAATATATTGTGTTGGAAATATGATGATAAACAGGCTGATGAAAAAAAAATATTTAAAAAAAATTGCGAATTCAATGGAGATGTTAAGAATTTGGGAAATCATATGTGTTATGCAAATATGAAATTTTGAACGTTTTTGAAATCTGAGTACTCAGGATTCAGAAAATTAAAGCATGGTGAATACTGAGAAAATGACAAATAAACGATATTAAAATATTTAGGAACTGATGCGGTAAAATTAAATATCATTTTTTCGAAAACGGCAAAAAAATAAAGTTTTCGATCCCTAATTACTGAACGGTGGAAAATTTATTGTAGATGCAATTAAATAAGTAAACAATATTGAGAAAGTTGTGACATTATGTGTTGACCAATTTGAGAGTGATTCAGAAAAATCATAAATGCAGAGTTTCAGAATCTTGAGAATTATACATTATCATTATACAATCTCAGCTCTCAGAAAATAATGATCTACTCTCAATACAGAGTGTTGATTGCAATTGTTTTCAGAAGCGAACCAAATTGAAGTTGATGAACTCAGGGAGAGAATCTGAAAATTTATCCAGGGTGTTTCGACTATATGGAAAGATGGAAAATTAAAAATATGTTATAGTTTATTTCATCAGTTCGGACTTCCATTGTCTAATATATTAATAATCTAGGATGATTGGGAATATAAACAGATATACAGAATGTTATGAAGCTCTGAAATATAGAGTTAACTATTTCATACATCTCTAATAAGATAATTTTAACTGAAGTTTGAATCAGAGACTTCCAAAGTCTGAAAGTTACTCATTTGCATGATCTACACATTTTTGTGAAGAGTTCTTTTTTGAATTATTTGCTTTCTTTCTTCCTTTGGAAGGTTTTCACAATTTTTGTATAAAGAGAAGTATATAAAAAAACGTTTCCTCCCCAAAAATCAATCTCCCTAAAATATTTGCCTTTCAATCGAAATAATATGATGGATATCAATCACGTTTCAAGAAAATGTGCAGCCATTTTCTCAATAAGACTATGGTAGGAAAATACGATAGGAAATAATGGCTACCATGTTTGCTCGATCTTTATCTCCTAGATTTTTCGTTGTGTAGTGTCATAAAAACATGATTTGAAAAAAATATATATATTAGAGGACTGAAATGTTCAATAGGAATAACCTGCATGGCTACACTTCATGAATGTTCAAAGTGTCCACAAGCAAACTACTTCTAGAGAAAATATTTGTATGGAAAGTGGTGAAAAACAATTGAACATTTGATGCGATATCGCCTGCGACTGTAATTTTGAAAATGTTACATCAAGTATTTCACTATGTTATTTTTCTTGCACTTCATTATCACAATACATTTTCTATCAGAATTGTCTTTTCTCACTGTGGTTTATTGCGATTTGATGGCTACATGCCAGTTGGGAATTTGGGCTCCTAATAAAAAAATTATGAAAGAATATTGATCTTGTGTTTCTGAAAAAGAAGGTCGAGAACTATGTTGTAAAACATCAGTGAATTTGTAATAATAATGACGACCAGAATTATTGAAGAAACACACAAGTCCGTTTGATAATTACAACTTGGAACCTCTGGCGCGAAATGAATTTGATGAAAACATTTTTTCCACACCATAACAAAGATACCGTATTAAAAAAATCATATTGGTGATGGATTCTAAAAAAAATGTCGCATTGAAAATTGATTTCAACCGAATCATAATAAGACTTGAGGGAAGCACACATATCATAGCAATTTTTGATACTTTCAAAAATTAAGGCGCTAAAATAAAAAACAGAATCAAACATTTAAATTTTTTTGCAAATATTAGATCAAAAACTGTTTGATAAATTTTTCAATCAGATAATATCTATCCACCTGTTGTATCACCCATCAGAAGGCAACATTTGTTTCATTCAATCAACCATTATAACCAACAGTTTTTCAGATAGCAATAGTGGTATTAGCTTAGAAACGACCTGTATAAAATCGTTTATTTAGTTCATAATGAATAAATTATATACGGTATAGACTCAGTGTATATTCAAACTATGAAAGAAAATCCAGTTTGCAATTCAATCAAGCACAATGCTACAAAACACGACTACAATTCCTCATTAATTTATCATTTTCAGGAGAACAAAACATACGTGGCAGTCGGCTACAGCGTAGGCTACGGTTACGGTCGGCAATTCATAGATAGACGAACAGATTGGAGGGATGTAATTCTACCCGCTATTCCTTCTCAATCTCCTGGACTTCAATCTATGAGCTACGTAATACGAGGATTAGAATCCGGGCAAAATTACGAGGCCAAAGTTCAGGCTAGGAACAAATTCGGTTGGAGTCCCGTTTCTGAGGCTTTCACGTTTCAGACGACTGATAGAGGTCAGTATGAATTGATTGTGGCTGTGGATATTATCATAGAGAAAATAATTTCTGTCCGTATATTGAATACGGATATGAACTTTTTTTCTATAGGTGATGTACCATACTTCATGACCTTATACAGGCAGAGAAACCAATTGGGGTTCAGAGTCTGAAATATAAAATATTGTTACTTATGTTTCCCTCTGGACCCTTGTTTCAACAGTAAAATACACAATGATACACATGCATCATCAAATATAAAGTGATAACACACACGCTCTTATATTGCATCTTCTTTTCCTTCAAATAAAAACGAAAATGAAATATTCAACGTTTGCGAAAAGAGATAGCTATACAAACGTGAGTCGTCAGCAATTTTTTCGATTTTAAAATCAATTGATGACGTGTACTATCGTTTGTTAACATGCTGTTAATTAAAGAAGTTCAATGATTCTAGTTCTCTTATACCACAACAATAGATTATTTTCACATCTTATGAACTACAAATAAATATTATTATTATTTCATATTCTCAGTAAGTGCCGTTATAAATTTCAACCTCGACGAATTTCATGAAATTGATATATTATCATAACTTGTGACCTCATATTTTCAGTGTATTTTTCCGTATTCACTTCGTCGACTGATTTATATCGGATACTATTGATAAAGCATCTGTGAAGATCCATGGACCGTACTGTGAATCAACCATGAAAATGTTGATTCCACAATATTCTATTATTTCGAGTACAGTTTTTCCACATCTTACTACTCTCAGAAGCTCAGAAAAAATCAAGTTTTTCCACAATTTCGTTATGAACACGATAGAATATAAACTTTTGTGGAAGAAAATCAGCAATGAAAAATGTGATTAAATTGGCTGATACTTGATGAAAAATCATAAAGTATTTCAGTTACACTTTGATTATCGAGAGACATCCACTAAACATTTCAAAAAACCGCAACATGTGTTTCACTATACAGTACCGTGTTCATACTCTAGAACACGTCTAAAGAAGCAACGTATTGAGATTTTTTTAATCATTTACTGAAAATATCATAATGAAGCGTTATTTCAATATAGAAAGCTCTTATTTCTCAACACCGTTAATTATCTATTTTGTTTTTCAATACTCGAAAAATTACTCTTCAAATAGCGCATGCATACAGCAACATTTGACACAATGAATACTCACAAACGGTACATAATTCTAAATAAATTGAACACTGTTGAATGGAAATAACGAAAAATAATATAATGTTATTTCCTTTGTAGTACCTTGCATGTTTTTAAATATTTATACTATATACCCTTGCTCGGAGCAAAGCAGTATGTATATTGAATTTTTCGAAATGGTGGTGAGCATATGGAATGCCCAAGTTCTAGTGAAAATACCAAATCATTGCGTCGCATGTGAGATTTACGATTTCGTACGTACGTGTGGCAGATACCTGACGCAAAAAAGGAACCATCTGATGCCACTCTGAAAGTTGAAGGAAATTCTTCAGACGCCTATGCAGCCGTGTCAAGTGGGTCAGTTCAGATGGAGAGAACCAACCGTCTGAGAATCTCGAACAAACCACCACCATGCCTCCTTGGATATGGGAGTCATGTGATGAAATCTTTCTCATACGGTTGATGTGATCAGAAGCTAGAATCTGGTTCATACACCCCAGTTCATTTGCGAGCAGTCTCCTTCCTGCTGCTCGTTACTTCAGTGAGATTGATATCTCAACTTGTAGGGTTGGAAGTCACCCTCTGGAACCTGAACTCCCTTTCTATTGTTTTTGTTTGTTTCACCTGATTCTACTGTTTATATTGTATGCATGGCGTTTCTCTATACCTGAATAACACGGGTTTGTAAAGCGAACTAAGTATATGTATGTGTAATATCAGATATTTTGTGTTTTTATGTATCTGTATTTGAATAATAATATACTTACCAGAACAGCCTATCGGCGACTCTTGGAGATGGTCTCTGGTTTTGCCAATCAATTTCATGTAATCTGGGGTCGAATCTGTTCAGTGCCTCATGGAAATCACGCAGAGCTGCTGTAGGGGATGTGTTCGAATTTACTCGAAGTTGTTCTGGGCGCAGTTTTTCAGAGAAAAATCCAAGTCACCGTTCACCGTTACCCGCAGAGAGACGTTCATAAATTGTGAAGAGGATATCATTCTCTCTACAGTGTTCCCCAGAATTGTCGACAAATAATTGGGCTTTTTCTTCATCGGTATAGACGATACCCTGTTCTCCATATAATGGAAGACATGGTTTTAAGCGGCTGTTTCTCAGTACCTTCTGCATTTTTTATGCAGACTGATTTTTGATGTTGAGTTCTGTCAGACAGATTGACCATCGTCGGTTTTGAAGGGTTTGCAACTCTTGCCGCAAATAAATATTGCCTATGCATATACCTTTTGTCAATTGGGGCAAGTAATCACTAGTACATTCTCTTTAGGTACCTTTTGATCCTGATGAGCTCCATTATCTGTAATGTCATCTGATCCAATAGTTTGAAACGTGAAACTGAGACGACTACGCTTCGCTCCATAAAGGTCGCTCCTCAAAGTCAGTTGTTTTTCCGATTCGGTTACTTCAAGCTGCTTTGCCAGCTGCTTCGCTAGCTTGAAGTAACGGTTTTTGGTCCTAATTAGTGTTGTACTTGTTGTTGAAGGTGGTTGTAGTTGTTGAAACCGGGGATGCGCAAGATGTCCTGCGCGGCTCTCAGCTTGACTTCCTAAAAATCTATAACATCGATGGCAAATAACGAGAGCAGTTCCATTATATCCACGCAGTCTGTGACGCCATTGACGTTTTCAGTCCCATCCAAGACTTTCTGGAATCCGCTGTGCTACCTTCAACAGTTCTAGGTTATTATGGAAGGGCAGTCAAATAGGTGTTCCATCATGAAGATATTTTTTTTCATATATGTTATCCTTCACCACCTTCAGAAGAATTACCTGAAAGATGCTTTCTGAATTGAAATTTTCTCATTAAATACCGATTCATTTGGGTAAACAAATCATTATGAGTCATTAAACTCAATTCACAATTTCCAGTCAACAAAATATAGGAAAATTTCCTATTGAAAGGTCCATCAGTAACTGCAGTATATACTCGTAATTTTGACCATTTGAAACTATTTGCTATAAAGCCACAGAACTTCTTTCACGATGGAATTATAAACTTTGTCATTTTTGTCATATAATTCGAATAATGTCCCAATTCATTCCAGAGAAACGTAAAATAACTATTGCCACTGAAATTTTACTGAAATGAAAACATACATACTGAATTATTATTCTAGGACACCAAGTTTGTTTTCCCTTCTATAGCTTTTGTTGTCAATAACAGAGTTTTAAATTTCATCTGAAAACCATTTACAATTTTGATATGTTACAATATCACTTGTGAAATTAGATTCATGTCTAAACAAAATATGTCGATGAAAATCATGTTGTTCTCTCAAGTCACCCTGGAAAAAACGTCAAAGCATTGTCTCTCTTTCTAAATGTTACAGTGAATTTTTATTTATGTTCACGATATTTATTTTTGTTGAGAATGCAGATAATTCTTTACAGCCTTAGAATCATGTATTATTGGTATGGATATTCTAGGAATTTTGTGTTTTGAAAAACTTTCACCTAATTTTCATGTAAAGATACAATTTTTTTTCGCTTCCATTTGACAAAAGTTAACATTTTGAACATAACTACTATTCCTGATCAACTTTCCTGAGTTATATCAAGTTGTATTTTTTTAAAATACTGTATTTGTGAAAGAAATCGATATTTTTGTCCTACCCTAAATTCTGTTTGACTTGAAGCCAGTCTAATTGGTTACCAAACATACATTAATTTCAAACAATATTCAAAATTTCATTGTTGAACGAATAAACATTCCATCTTTTACAAACTAGAAGGACCTCGTTGTGGAGTGAGTCATTATTCCGTTCAATGGAAATATCCATGATGTAATCAGTCCACTATCCAATGAGATTGATGTCAATGGAACTGTTATGCGAAGAATTTCAAACAGAAAATAGATTCGTTCCTATCACATCCAACTGACGTAGAATAATGAAAATCGTATAGACCCGTTGATGTTATTTTCGATAAGAGCATTTTGACAAGACAAACAAATGATGATGTTTTAGAATTTCCTATCCTTGTTAGGGGTTTTATATGGCAATAATCTTCAAATGATAGTTCAAATAAAAATTATTAACTAGATTATGTTAGATTTTTTGGGATTTCCTAAACTAAAGGAAAAAAGTCAAAGCTTGAATTGGGGCAGAGTTGGGTTTTTGTGCCTAACAAAATACTGCTTTGAAACTTGAAAAATTCCGAGTATTTCTGGAAATATATGAAAAAACTGAAAATCGTAATTTTCGTTTTTATTGTTTCTCTCGTTATTTGACAACATAGCTCAAAACCAAAAACAAGTTTTCATTGACCTTTTTTTAGCTATACGGTTTCATGTTCATGTTCACTATACAACGTTTCGTCTTCTGGCAATCATTGCAACCATTGTTTTATACATATCTTTTCTGAATAATAATTCACCATGTAATCAATCCCATAAATTCTCATCACACCGGTAGAATCAAAAATCAAAATAATAAATTGATGGATGTAGTATATAATAATAGTAGTATTTGATAATAGTAGTATTTAATAATAATCTCCTACGTAGCAGGAGATTATTATTAAAATGTGAAATGAAAATTTCTATGTTATTTACCACTTTTTTATCAAAAAAAGTTATTGAAGTTTCGTCCTATAAGGACATTTCCAAACTTATACCGACACTTGATGAAAATTCATAATAAAAAACTAATCAATACAGTTTATTGCATGATTTTCACTATAAGGGTTTTACAAAAACCGCGACACGTGTTTCGCTATACAATAGCTTCCTCAAGCATAAACTGAGAGTTACTTCTAAATTACACCATTTTATACTATAACCTAGTACCTATTCGTCTACCTGAATAATAAATCTACCTGAAAAGGTCAGGTATGAATTCATTAACAATATCAATACATTTTTCTAAAGTATACCTGGAAATATACCTAACTATTTTTACCTGCGAATGAACAGATTCAATAATGACTATTCAATTCAGTTTGATCGTTCATGAGATATTGAAAGTTTTTGAATTTGTCTATTTCCATATTCTCCAACAGGTTAAGTTTCAAACCTTCCTTCTGGATATGGAGGGGTTTGTATTCATGGTTGAACTCATGTCCCTCTGAGATTCAATGACTGGCATATGTGGAATTTATTTTTCCATTCTGAAAACTTTATTTTTGATCCTTTATGCCAGCTTTGAACGTTCTTTCAGTTTGACCTATATGAAACATCGGACATGACCCACACGATAATTTATACACTCCTGATTTTTCTGAAACTGAACTTTTATCTTTGTTATTTTTAATGTGCAAGCCTAAGTTGTTGTTGGTTTTGAAAGCAGTATTTACACCTCTGCTGTGCAGAAAATCTGAAATATTTGTAGTGGGTTGGCTTAAGTAGGTTAAGGTTCTGTGACTTTTATCCTCTTCTCTTCGCATTGGGTAAACTTCTTTCAAAGCTTGACTGTATAACTTTTTTGATAATAAAGAATATATCAGACCGCTATCGTTATCATTGTTGACTGCTATTTGCTTTATTATATTCAGTTCTTTATTGAAATACACTTCTAACAAGGGTACATTTATCAGTCTGTGGATCATACTGTTGATTATGCTGATATGGGTGAGTGGACGAATTATGAATGATAATATCTGTATGTGCCGGTTTACGATAAATTGAAAAATTATGTTTGTTGTTGACTTTTATTATTGTCATGTCCAAAAAGTGTATAGATTCGTCCTGTTCCATCTACAGTGTGAATGTGATATATGGGTGGAGAGAATTGATGAACTTCAAAAAGTTTGTCAACTGTCTGTTCGTTCCTGTGAAACATACCAGGATATCATCCACATATCTATACCAATACACGAAACTTCTTACCAGTGGATTACTGTGTATTGTTCTTTCCAAATCGTCCATTAAAATCTCTGCCAGAATAGAACTAAGTGGGTTTCCCATTATGAGACCTTTGCAGGATGAGTAAAACGTTTCATTGAATTGGAAGTAATTCTGTGACAAACACACCGTTAGCAAGTCTAATATTTCATTATTCAATACCGGATTGATAGAGTTTTTGTCCACTAGATTCTCCACCAGAGTAATCGTTTCATTTGGAAGGAAACTGGAAAACAGATTATTTACATCGAATGAAATCAATTTGGCATTATCCGGGAGTGTAATATCTTGAATTTCATTGATCAAATGGTATGAATTCCTCAAACTGAATTTTGATTTGAAATTGGTGTGGTTTTGAATAATTGCAATGAGTTTTTCGGATATTTTAACTAACGGAGCTATGACGAAAGAAACTACCGATCTTATCGGGTAGTTATCTTTGTGTAATTTAATCAACAAATACAATTTAGGTGGTTGTGGGTTCATGACTAACGATCGAAATTTTTCCGTTTCATCCATGACACATCATTATATGTCTAAACTGCACTAACTGCAGTTAAAAATGAAAGAGGCAAAAAATATAGAGAATGTAATCACTCATCTTTCATGAAAAATCAAATTATATATTTTTTCATAGCTAATGAACTTTTTTCGAAAAATCAACATGGAATACTTTCACCATCAATGCTGGTGTTTTCTGAGGATCTATGTTGTCTCCAACTCTTTTTTTATTGTTTATTAACAACTTATTGGAAAAAAAACTATAATTCAATATATTGCTTTGCTGACGACAGACACTTGTCTCGTCATTCCATTTGGATTCCAAGATATCGGCTATGGAGGCACATCTTCACCAGCAGTAGGAGGTTGCATATCTCCATGAGAATCTAGAAGTGATTTCGAATTGGGGTGAAAGTAACCAGGTTCAATTCAATGCCACGAAAACCCAGGCATCGGTTTTCTTCAAGAAGATAAATGTCTCTGAACCGGATATAATAATGTCAGGTCAGACAATTTCGCTTTCTGCTTTGATGAGTTTGGTGGAGATTAAAATGGACACCAATATGTCTTGGCTTGTCGCTGGAATTGCAAAGGCTGCTTCTCAAAAGCTTGGAACACTGTTCCAAACCAGAAGACTACACACACCTCAGCAACTTATGATGCTTCATGAAACTCAAATCAGACATTCTTTGGAGTATTATTCTCATGTATGGAGCTCTGCACCCAAACATATCCTGAAGTTGCTGGATTGGAGACGTTCAACCTTGATACCTTTGAACATCGTAGAAAAGTTGGAGATTTGTCTCTATTCTATAGAAACTTCCACGGGAGGTGTTCAAGAGATTTGGCACATTTGATTCCTCCAAGAGCGGTACATATCAGAAATACTCGACGAACTGTTGCTGCTCATCCTTTTGAGGTTCAACTCAGTACACCGCAAACTTCACTGTTTAAGAAGTATCTCATCTGGAGAACTGCGTTTATGTGGGATAAACTTCCTGAGAACCTTTTTCCAAATGGATTCAATCAGCGATTCATATCCAATGTGAATCGCTACTTCCACACAGGCACCGCTCTGAGAGCACCTCAAGGATTAATCTGTAGTGCTTATGTTTCGTCCTTAAACAAATAATTAGTTTTCTATTGAGCATTTTACAATCTTCAAAAATTAGTGATTACAAATTTATTCTTGAGCTTTTACTAAAATGTTAATCCAAAGATTGGACCTCAAACATACATGATCCCTCTAACACGAGTAATAAGCTGAAGGCAAACTGTTTAACTTTGAGGTTCATTGTTGAAATTCTTTTTTTTTTTATTCAGATGAGTTAGTAAAACATAAGTGTCTATCTGAAACAATTAACAGTAGAACTTTTTTCTCTATGAATTATTCATTCAATCTGACTCTATCGAATATACAGGGTGTGAATTGAATATGTTGAAATATGCAAGTGACGTATTCCTGAGATAATTTTGAGAAATGGAGATACAGGATATTGAAATTGAATTTTTTGTTCGTTCTTTAAAAGTCACTTTTGCAAAAAATAAGTTATTTTCACAAAATAAATTTGCTCCTCGTGGTTTTTTGACATGAGGTATCATAATTTTATATTAATTCTCATGTTACATCTAGAGTGCGCAGCGTACGCTGTCATCATTTATTTCAAATTGCCCTGACTTCTGGTACTTTTCATAGAAAAACCTAATTTCCACACCTTTTCCAAGTGAAAAAGGTACGCTGCCTCAACAACTCTGGAGATGATCGTTTTTAAAATACCTCCTACAGCACTGATAAAAGTTGCTGAGACCATTATAAAAACTAAGTATACGATAGATCGTGGAAATAAACAACTTTTTTCATAAAATATTTATTGAAAAATCATTCGTTTTCGAGATACAAATTGTTGAAATTTTTCAAAACATGGTTGGTTTCTGTCATAAGTCTTTTGCAATTTCAGTTATTTTTATCTCGAAAACGAATGATTTTCCGATAAAAGTATTAAAAAACAAAGTTGTTTATTTCGACGAGATCCACCACATACTTAGTTTCTGTAATGTTCTTAGCAACTTCACTTAGCGTCCTAGGAGGGAGCCAAGTAATATGCTTCGATAAAAAGAATTGTAAATATCTCGAAAACGATCACCTTCAGCGGTGTTAAGTGTACCCTCTTTACTTGGAGAAGATGTGATAAAAAGTTTTTTATATGAAAAATATCAAAAGTTTACTGTCAAAAAAGTTGGGGAAATTTAAAATAAATAATTACATCGAATGCAGCGCCCTTTAGATGTTACATGGAAATCAATACGACATTTTGAATTCCCACGTCAAACTTACTTTTTGAAAAGTTTTTTTATAAAATGAAAAAGAAAATTCAAATCCAACACCTTATATCTTAGAAACTAAGCATTTTCGGACACAAGTTCATATATACCTTTTTTCTTAAAATTGTCTCAGGAATACGTCACTGGAATATTTCAAGGTACTTCTATCACACCCTGTATATATTTATATAACTGTGTTTGTATGTGTAAATATCTACTGATCCACTGTGATTAAATGTTTCTTTTTTTACTTTCATGCTTGGACGCAGAAATGGGCTATCCGGACAGGCCTCAGTCTCCAAAACACATCTACAATGGTAAGGATAAACTTATTTGAAGTGTCTCACTATATATTTCTCATCGAAAAAAGTAATATAATAATGAGCCAATATGTGAAAAAGAGAGGTTCTGACTTCAGGAAGATTCCCAAATTTTTTGTATAAAGACGGAGACGTAGAAAGCCAAAACCTTTCTTTACCAAAAACAATTTTCCGTTGACGATATACCTTTCAATTTCATTCAATTCATTTCAATTTACGTATATGGATACTAAGAAGTGAATGGCTTTTTTATGATTTTAAGTTCATAAATTTGATTTTTTTAATTCATGACTTCCATTGTCTAATATGATATGATTTGAAGTGAACATTGCATTGAAGATCTTTTTTCATGAAGATCTTCAACGAAATGGTTACTCCGAAGTAATGGTAGAACAGACTTTTTCTAAAAGACAGAAAGAGCCTCGCAAAGAAGAGAACCAGTGCTTGTACTTCCCTACATCAGAAAATTGTCAGAAAAGATAAGAAGAATTAGGTCCTCATCAGAAACACCGTCCGTAGCACTATCAAGAAAACCAGGCCACCAAACGCGGACTGCGATTCCAAGATACCAAAATGCTATCCTACATCGGTTAAATTAAGAGGCCATTGAAAGTCCGCATTGCCGAGCACAAGAAACACACACAGCGAGGAGAAACCACCAAATCGGGAATAGCAGAGCATGTTTGGATCCATCAACATAATATCAAGTGGTCCCAAGCTGAGATCATGCACAAGAAGCTGCATACATGTTGGTCAACACACATTCAGTCAAGCTAGCGTAGAGATACGCAACATATGGAAACCCATAATAAAGCGAAAAACGATTAACTCCCGCCATATGGCCATCTCCCACTCAAACTTGTGAAGCGGGGTGAGGGAAAGAGGAGATGGGTGAAAGCACTCGTATGACCTGTAAATATTCATCGCACGGATGAATCAGTCCAGTCATCAACCGAAGACGATTGTTAATACTAAAAATCAAGATGTCGTGAAGTAACTTGGCTTGAAATCTTTGGATTTTCATTTTTTTTGTTCATTTCAATTATTTTTGCCTAATTTTTTATTTCATTGTGATTTTTTTCAGGATTTTCTTTCCTAATACAATTGTTATTTTCAACTATTCTTTTAAATTTTTATGTTTGATTTGTTATTTCAGAGATTTCAAATCATATCATATTAAACAAAGGAAGTCCGAACTAACGAAATTCACCATTGTCAACCACCTTCAGATAAACCTATAATTTTCAAAGTTACGATTTACAAAGATTTTCAAGATTTCATATTCGTCGCGTCGATACAAAGCAACCACATACACGTATTGACGTGTAACTCACCATATTTTCGGATACTAAAAAATTTTGAGAAAAACTATGCCTCGTTCCGATACTTGAATAGCGAAACTTTGGTCGGGAGTCAGTACTTTCATACTGGTGTGAGAAAATGTTTTCAATAAAACTTTTCATTTCGTTAAACATTTACTCTTCCATTTTTCTAACGGTTGAATTTGAAATTATGTTTCCTTGGAGTTTTTGCTTTTCCATACACAATATAAATCACTGACAAAAAAAAGTATTTCAATAGATTTTAAATTCTCTTCAATTTTTGGTGTCACACACTAAATGTTTGATGATGTATATCAGTTTTATGTCACTTTCAATTTTTTCAAGTATTTCTCTTGTTATGTGTTTCTCTCAGTTTGTTGGGAAAAACCTTCTATTCCGACAGTGTCCAAAAATCCCTTCATATCGTTCAATAATGAAAATATTTCTTCTGACTTCAATTTCATCTCATCATATTTTGTAAATAACAATGCGACATTACTTCAATTTTTATAACTAACATGTTTTCAAAGTTGACGCTTTTAGTCACGCATTATGTTATCGACTTTGAGTGATTAGCAATAAAAAGAATCCATCTGCCTCTGAAAGGGCAGGTAATTTGAAACATTCGATGTAATATAGTTTTGAGTATGTCCGACTACACTCAGTTGCAATTTGATTTAATTCAATTTTATTCAATTGTCTTCTATACATAAGTATATCCACTAAAAAATTTTCATTATCATTTTTGTTTTGTATAGATATTATAGAAATTGCTACGAAAAAAGTTTTCATGACCGAAAGTGACTTACTGGAATGGGTAATTTTTTGACAGTTTCGACTTTTGAGTGGTCGCATCTACAAAAGTTGATCGTAGATAAACATAAGCAAGTCTAGTTGAAAATTGATCAAGTGACTCATAAACTAATGACAAAAATTTGTTATTGTTTCGTTGTTCCAATTAATGTATTTTTTCTGAAAGATGACCCCATGAAAAAATTATCACAAAACTTTTCCGCCCTGAATTACTCTCAACCACTTCAATCATCAGGAGGATAATTCTCGTAAAACACGGAATCGGGTAACATTATACCAAGCAAAATTCGGTTTGATATACACGTATCCATACTAGAGCTCCAGCTAACTTAATTTCCTATTCATCCAAAAACTTGTAAGCCGAAGTTTCTCATTAAACTTCGGTAAAACTTTCACATTGATGTAGCTTGATGAACATTCGGGACGATTGAATATAACCAAGATTTTACTCGGAATGAGAAATGTGAAGAGCACCAGTTCATGACTTAATTGTAAATAAATATTTGGAGAGAAGATAACTGGAAACAACTATCGAAACAATCGAATAAAGAGCAATATCAGAATTAATTTCAATCTGTCATAAAATGGGTTTCTGCTATTCCCACCTTTTTCTTTGCCATATATATCTCAATTCATTGATGAATAAGTTGTTCATTTCAATACATTCATTTTTATTCTCGCTTGATTTTTATCAACAAGTTCAAAAACATGAAAAAAGATATAAAGGTCCTAAAAATATGAGCGATAGCTCATTCGATTCGGAATCACCTCTAGAAGAATGTTTTTGAAGGATTTCAGTGCAGGTAAAAAATTGCAATTGTTATTAACGAAATAAGATTTAAAAAAAATTGTATTCAGTTTTTCGTTAATAACTCAAAAAATATTAATATTCAAGTAATTTCGAAAAAAGTTCGTTGAAGAGGAGGAAATTTCCGATAAAAAAATCCCGACTTCCGAAACTCTATCTCCATTATTTATAATTTCAATTTGACTTTGAAAATAGGGTTCCTCGCGGCTGTTACGGTATGCGCGCGCATGCCATGTCACTATAATACTTGATAGCTGTTTTTATAATTTTTTCTGCTTCAAAAAAAATATAACGTTGGTCAATATTTGTTCATAACAAATTTTTAAAATAATAAACAATTAAATAATGAATAAAAAAATTTTTTCCTGCCCAACTATTTAAAAGTGTAAATTATGATTTTAAAAAAAATTGAAATTATAATTAATTCCAGATTCCTTAACTTATAGCGATCTGACGATATCGTTTCCACGCTACAAACTCCCTTTCAATCTTCACACAAACACTTTTTGTGTAAATCAGTTTCATCTCCTTTTGTTGGATTTTCGTAAGATTCTCAATATTTGAAGAAAAAGTGAAAACATCAGACAACCGAATTCTCTATCAATATAAAGCGTCTCTTTGTTTGATTATCTGTAAAACGACGACTCAGACAGATCGTCAATCTGAAAACACTTAAGGTGGCACTGAAACATATAAAAGAATGCATTACAAAAACTGGGTCACCAAGAGCGCCATGAAAGGTACAAGACTTGATGTGCCTCCTATTCAGTCTTCCACCAGTTTCATCCATGAACGTCTCATTAGGGGACTCTGTTCATGACTCAAATTCTACATTGAAGTAAATTCTGATATGTTGTTTCGAAAGGGAAATGATTTCCCTCACAAATAGACTTCGGTGAAAATAATTCGAGTTATACAAAATCAATAAAGTTTCAGCAAAAGCATGTGAAATATAAAACTTCAATTGAAAAACTTTGAATTGTATACAGTTCGAAGCAGCCAGTGTCACTGGCTAATCTCAAGAAGTAATATTTACCTTTTCAATTCTATGTATCCTTTCCATCCAATCCAATACATCAGTAAACGTTCATGTAGTCTACACCAAAATTCCTAGAGCTGAGATTTGAACCGAATCCAGAAATTTTACGAAAATTTAGAGCCTATTTAGAGTGGCTTAATCCATCTTCAAGTACTGAACCAACTCAATGGACGAATCGAAGTGCAAACTTTTATGAGTCGATTGAAAATTAGTTCAAGAAATTCTACTAAAACCATCAGTAAAATGCAAGTAATACCCTGCTAGAGAAAAATGAATGTGGCAGAAACTGTTTTCATCTCGTGAAAAATACAGGGAGCTTCTTTATAATCAATCAATCATCAAAATCAAACCTGACAATCTAATATATAAAAATGGATGTTAGTTGGTTGGTTGGTAAGTGATAAACTTCTACATCGTTCAACGGATCGTGATGAAACTTGACATGTATAAGTAATTTTCCATAAAGGTTTTTAGGCTATCAGTTTTTCTGTGACTCGCCACTAGATGGCGCTGTAGAACAATTTTTTGAAAGCACTGTTCAATAACGCTGCGCACGCCTAAGTTCGTTGATTCTGATTCTGTCAAAATATTGGAACAGCAGCGATACAGCAACACAGTACTAATTAGTACTACAACTACCAAATTCTACGCGAGTAAAGCCGCGGACAAAAACTACTAAAATATATAACCAACTATAATGCTCAAAGACGACTTCTGAAAGTCCACAGAAAGTCCACTAGAACGAAGGCCCCACTTCCAAGTGGAAATCATTCTGTAGCTTGTGAATAATTTCAATGGAGAAAATTCGCAATGCAAATATTAGACCATAATTTACTGATTCACATTACTCGGATGAAATCTGTTAAAAAATATTTTTTAGTTAACCAGCTGTTTTCCTTCTACAAACGACAACTCTCAAAAGTCAAGACTTGTGCAAGATGAGGATTAACGCAGTCTAAGCTTTCAACGTGCGGGTTGGACGATAGGAAGTGAAAATCGATCGTCCAGCCTCGCA